CCAGGTAAAGCAGACTTCCGGTCCTGAAGTGCAAGGCTGACACACTCAGCAGGACAGGAGTCAGTTCCACAGACAGTGGGTGTGGACAGAGAACCCGGCCTGGGAGAGGCCATGGCTGACAGCAGGCTGCAGGCTGAAGGGGCCCCTGTTGTCATGTGGGGACCCTGTCTCCTCCCCTGGAGACAGAGTTGGAACTGTCAGGGAGAAGGTGAGCCCTGGAGTCAGTGCAGTCACCGCGATGGGGATCAGGAGACCCAGGGACCCGGTTCCCTCAGAGACAGGGGCGTGACCCAGCTGAGGGTTCTCCTTCCTCAGGCCTGAGCCCAGCCCGAGGAAGAGGAGGAGATGCCCGCGGCCTGCCCCTGTGCGCAGCAGCGTGTCCTTCCCGTTCTCCAAGTGTCTGCGGAGCCACATCACGCACGTGTCCTCCCGGTAAGCCCTGTCTCTCTCTGCAGCACGAGCCTCCTCCCACTTGCGCTTGGTGATCAGCGCCGCCGTGTCCGCCGCCGTCCACGACGTCATGTCCTCGTTCAGGGCGATGTAATCTTTGCCGTCATAGGCGAACTGAAGGTCCCCGCGGAGGAGGCGCCCGTCGGGTCCCACTTCACAGCCGCCCATCCTCTGGAAGGTGTGAGAGTCTGCGGGACCGCGCGGTCAGCCCCGCCCACCGTCCCCACGTGATCCCCGCGGTCAGCCCCGCCCTCCTTCCCACGTGACCACTCGCGGCCCCGCCCTCCTTCCCCACGTGATCCCCGCGGCCCCGCCCACCCGCGGACTCTTCAGAACCGAAAGGGAAACCGGTCCCGGGTTGCGCGTCTCCTCCCGAACCTCGGACTTGGGACCGGGGACGTCTCCGGCCCCGTGTCGGGACGTGCAGGGGTCGTGACCTGTGACCCGGGGTCACTCACCGGCCTCGCTCTGGTTGTAGTAGCGGAGCGCGGTCCTCAGGTTCCCTCGGTAAATCTGCTCGTTGCTCTTGGCTCTCCGCGTCTCCCTCTCCCAGTACTCCGGCCCCTCCCGCTCCACCCACGGCGCGCGCGGCTCCATCCTCCGCGTCTCCGCGTCGCTGTCGAAGCGCGCGAACTCCGTGTCGTCCACGTAGCCGACTTCCACGTACCGGGGCTCCCCGAGGCCGGGCCGGGACACGGCGGTGCGGAAATACCTCATCGAGTGTGAGCCTGGGGGCGGCGCGCGGTGAGACCCCGACCTCCTCCCGGGACCCCGGGCGGGTGCGCGGGCCGGGAGGGGAGCAGCGCGGGGCTCGGGACGCGCGTGGGGACGGCGGAGGGTCCGGGGGTCGCGGACACGCGGCTTCCACGGGGCCGCCCCACCCTCCCCGCAGAGCCCGTTTCCCTCCGACCCCGCACTCACCCCCGCGGGTCTGGATCGTCGGGGCCAGGGCGGCCGCCAGCAGCAGGAGCAGCGCGCGCGGCGCCATCGCCCCCATCTGGATCCCGGGGAGTCTGAGCCCCGCGGGCTGCGTGGACTTTATAACCGGTGCCCGCGGCGACGCTGATTGGCTCCCCAGGATGTCGCCACCCAATGGGGGAGAGAAGCGCCTGCGCGTCATCAGTGTCCAGGCAGAAGGACCTGACACAGGTTAGGAGCAGAAGTGAAACTGGGGACATGGGGAGTCCCCAACCCTGGGCTTCCCCAGCCCAGAACCCTGTGTGCGGGACAGAGCGCTGTGTGTCATGGTGTCTCCGCGTTCTCCGCCAGAAGCTGTCTGGACACCAGGACAGAAACACAGGCCAAACTCATCACCATCCCCTCCACCCTTCCTCTGCCTCTTCTCTTCAGAAGTCGCACCCTGGAGTCTTCTGGAAGAAAAGCCTCTTCCGGGCATACAGTGGCAACAACAAGCAGTTGGGGACACAGGGAGAGAAGCTGTCCTTAAGCAGAGGCGCTGGCCTGTGAGCCCCTCACAGACCCCACAGAGACCAGGCTCTGTCCACTTGCAGACCAAGAAGCTCCAGAATCTGCTAAAAATGACGGAGACTCAGCAGCTACCCGCACAATCTCCCGGGTTCCTCTGTGGTAATCTTGATGTCCTTGGGAGCAGAGGGCTCAGGGCAGCGTCAGTTTTCGCTGCCAGGCTCAGAGGGTCCAACGGACTTTCCTGTGGACTAGGACTTGGGGGACCGGCCTGCTCTGTCTCAGCAAAGCAGGACAGACAACTCCCCAGTGTCCTGCTTGTCCACAGTTTGGACAGGGTCCTGACGACGGGCAAGGGGAAGGGGAGTTTTTCATCCAGTGGCTGGCTGTGCCACATTCCCAGCAAGCTCCAAGTGGAGTTCTTCCAGACCATCATCAGCTGTGGTGACCTTGGGGTCACTGCTAGAACCTGGGGGTCTTTGAGACTCGGGTGCTCTGAAAAACCTTTGAAGTCAGGTAAGGGTAGTGCAGCTCTTTTCCTCTTCCTGAAGAGCTCCCTTGGCACACCACCCCTCCTGATCTTTAGTTGGGGTGGGTGGGTTCCAGAAAGCAGAGTACTCAGACATGTGCACACCAATTAGCAGAAGCATCTCGAACTCCAAAAGGCCAATCAGGATCAGAGTGCAGAGAGCAAGAGGAGAGGGCTGCTCCAGGAAAGAAGACAGAAAAATGTTGAAGTGAAAACAAAAGAGAAGAGAACAGGCAGAAAAGGCCTGGAAATGGAGATGGCGGCAGTACCAGTGACACCGCAGCCTCCTAGGAAGAGAAGAGCCCGGCCAGATCCTACCCTTGGAAATGGGGAAACACTCCTGAGCAGAGGGGAAGTCAAAGGAAAGATTCCTGGAGAGCTGAAAGCATGGCTTGTGAATGACAGGGACTTGATCCCCAGACACGAGCAGCTTTTTATCTTCCTGCCCAGAAGATGGACTCCCTTTTGGAGGATTATGCAAATTGTAAGAAATCTCGAGGAAATACAGATAGTGAGGAGCAGGCTGCTCACGAGGCTGTGGCAGGATAACGGGGTGCTTCAGTGGGATGTTGGGCACTGAGCTGTTCTACAAATGTGAGAGTCACAGCATCTGAAATTCTCACCATCACCCCTACACACCCACATCCCAGGTTCATGGAGAGCCACATTTCCTGAGGTTCCTTGTGTGGACTGGAGCGACGTTGGCCTTGACACCTCCCGATGAGAAAGGCCTGGTACAAGAAGCCAGGCAGTTTGTCATCGGAAGTCTTAGAAAGGAGCCCTGACAGAGACAAGAGTGAGCCAGGCTGCCCAGCCCCTCTGTCCTCCCCGCATTTCTGAAGTCTCACTGTCAGGGACTTTTCCTGCCCTGAGTATGGGCGCTCTCTACCCCACGACCCAGGGCGGCATTCTGCAGCGCTGCTATCCACTTCCTGTAGCTTCCTCGTGAAAACCTGCCCTTCTTCATGTATGCTTCTTTCCCCACATCCCTGCCAGCACTCCCTTTCTTTGTTATCTCATGTAACTAACAACTGTCCTCACTTACCTCCACCCTCACCCTCTCCTCAGAAGTCTGTGGGAGCCTCTGTGGGAGCTATTCAGTGTCTCTGAGCCATGCCTGCTTCCCCGGCACTCACACACCTCAGTTTTCCCCAATCAGATACAGCACAGGTCTTACAAATTAATTAATATATTTATTCACTTTACAACTCCCTCCTTTCTCTCCTCCTGGTCTCGC